AAGCCACTCCCACAAAGGAGGCCACACCCACAGAGTAGGTTCGAACAATTTTTGAAACCCACCTCTGGAGCATACTATTTCATAAGTTCATAAATATTTTCATTAAAATCAGCGCACAGAATTATTTCACGCGAGCCTACCTCGGAGTGCCCCGTTCCCTCCGATTTGGCCTTTGTAAGATGTTGGCTCACAATGTTTTTGACGAGCGCCAACATTTCACTTCGGTCGTTCATTTGGGTGACTTGTTCCTGAAAGCTTTGGACCAGAAGTAGCATTTTATTGTATTCTTCATCCTGGTGACGCCACCTCTCAGATAAGTGGGCCATTTGTTTCTCCAGCTCACTTACACGATCTGCATCAAAGAACTTCATAGTCACCTAGATTGGTGGGGTGGTGTTTTTTTTTAAATAATAAAAAAGGCTTGTTTATTTTCACTGCTCCTGACCATAAACAAACTCACATTAATAAAAATCACTTCACCAGAAACTAAAGTGTCACTTGAATGAAGCATTAAAACGATCCTAAAACGGATTAAAATCAACGACAAATCCCAATTGACTTTAGACGAAGTTTGCGGATATACAATTAGACTCCACCACCACCTAAACACAGACAAAGATAATTCCAGATTTTGGAAATCCCGTTGTGGAAAAATAAGATCCAAAGCTTTTCTAGCCAAAAATCTATGGCCCAATTCTGGCCTTGTTTATTTGGGTACTTATTTATCTATGCAGTGTTTATATCACCCCATCCCTCAGCATTGAGCGGTTAACAACAGAGCCTTAAAATAGCCATTCATAAATGGAAACCCAACCTCCCTGAATTAAAGTAAAATATCCTTGCCCCTGTTTGAAGTTATGATGGGCTCAAAAAACTCTCTAGCAACGCTGCAGTTTTCCTAAACCTCTTTAAGACATTACATCCCTTTGAGAACCAAAGTTGGAGGTCAGGATTGGCCTCGCTCACCTCTGGAAACTGACCAGCGGGGCCTGAATGAGGTTCAGATGCAACTGTCTTTACGGAGTCTTCCCACCTGGCCGTTCTGAGTAAGCTTGTCCAGTTCAAAGCTGGTAACAAGGAGAGGAAATCTTCGGAACCCCAGCACCATAAACCTGAAGCAAAAAATGCGGTTAAAAGGAAACATGCACGAATGTTTGAGGAAACTCAGTCTAAAACTACCTATATACTTCAAGGGTTGTGGGAGCTGATAGAATACAGCCCTAGGCCTACGTTATCCTCACAGGTAAGATATTAAGAGTCTTTTTCTCAATACCTGTTTTACTCACCAAGCAGTAAAAGTAGGGGGAGAAAGAACAGCAGCAACCTGAACATCTTTGGAAGACATCTGGAAAACAAAAGGCAAACAGCTGCAGTGTAAAATTGCCTATCGCTGACATTAATTGCCATTAATAGTTTACATACAGTGGCTTAATAAATAACAGTCAAGTCAGTGGCCCTTCCCAAAGCTTCCCAGGGCTGCTCATTGGAACGCCTCCGGAAATGAAATTTTTATTAAATTTAAATCAAATTTAGTTTTGTAGGGAACGGTCCAACCCACTGAAGCACATTCTCATCGTGATGAGCCACGGTGGCGCAGTAGTTAAGAGAAGTGTTTCTCAACCTTGGCAACTTGAAGATGTCTGGACTTCAACTCCCAGAATTCCCCAGCCAGCATTCGCTGGCTGGGGAATTCTGGGAGTTGNGTAATTTAAGGTGGTTCTGACAAGTGTCGTCGGCATCTTCATATCTGGTCACATGAGCGGCAAGCCACTCCCACAAAGGAGGCCACACCCACAGAATAGGTTCGAACAATTTTTGAAACCCACCACTGATCAAAGCGATTTGCCACCCAATACCTGAGTGAGGAAGGTGTTAAATTAGGTCTCACGTGGTCAACAGTAAGCAACCTAATACTATGTTAGATCATGACTGAAACAAAGAACAGAGGGAATTTGTCCTCAAAGAAACAGTTCCTAGAACTAAGTAAGCAGGAAAAAACAGTGAAAGAAATTTGAATATTCACTATGGTATAAACAGAGCCTGTGTTGGATACAGTCATTGGAATTCTTTCATAAAGGCTTCACGGTCTTGCGATAATAAATCTACTTGTTCGAGCCTTCATGTTTATTGAAAATATATTCTTGCAGCATTTTGCCTTCTCAGCCAACAGAATCCTCACAAGAGAAATAGGATAACACAATCCTTTTATTGGAAATGGGGGGAAAGTCCTGTTAGGTGTGCATATTTGCACATCTAGATTATATCTAGATTGTACTTGCATAAGCACCTGCTGGTTGCATGAGGGAGGCGCTTTATGGGACAGCTGGATGGAGTGGCCTCTTTTAAAAAGATGCATTTTCCCCCAAAGAGACAAGTCCATTTTATATAGGCAAAGGTAAAGTTTCCCTCGCACATATGTCCTAGTCATTCCAGATTCTAGGGGATGGTGCTCATCTCTGTTTCAAAGCCGAAGAGCCAGCGCTGTCCGAAGACGTCTCCAGGGTCATGTGGCTGGCATGACTAAATGACAAAGGCGCACGGAACGCTGTTCCCTTTCCACTAAACGTGGTGCCTATTTTTCTACTTGCATTTTTTACGTGCTTTCAAACTGCTAGGTTGGCAGAAGCTGTGACAAGTCACAGGAGCTCACTCTGTTAGGTGGCACTAAGGGTTTGAATCACCGAACTGTCAATCTTTCTGATCAACAAGCTCAGCATCTTAGCCACTGAGCCACCACGTCCCTGTTTTATATAGGGCCCCTATATGTCAAAAAAAAGAGAGAGTATTATTTTAATAGGCTCCTGGTTCCTGCAGGCAATTGATACTGGAAAAGGAATTACATTCATCTTGAATGGAACGAGTGATTGAGAACAAGGCAAAACGAGACTTAAAAGAGCCTTTTCAAGCACTTGGACCCAATCACACAGAATTCACAAAATGACCAGGCTATTTCTTCTGATATTCTTCACTGCAAAGCAGCAGCTAGTAAAAAAAACCTAATTTCAAAATGTTCATGGACATTAAAGACATAACGCTTTGGATTTCTGCCAAATGAGGCGTCGTGTAAGAGAGTGCTACGCTTGCTTCAAGAGTTGCAGGGTATTCCAATTTAAGGCCGCCAAAAAGACGCAATATTCAAAGCCGCACATATCCATTCTAGGGATGTGTGCCAAATTTAATAGATGCGTTTAAAAAAATGTAACGGACAAGCAAGTCAGGGATGGCTAAAGTAATAGCAATACCACTTAGACCGGTATACTGCTTCACAGTGCTTTTACTGCCCTCTCTAAGCGGTTTACAAAGTCAGCCTCTCGCCCCTAATAATCTGGGTCCTCATTTTTCCCACCTCGGAGGGATGGAAGGCTGAGTCAACCTTGAGCCTGATGAGATTTGAACACCTGGCTGTGGGGACAGCCAGCCTGCAATACTTCACTTTAACCACTGTGCCAAGAAAGGAAGGAAGGAAGGAAGAAGGAAGAAAGGAAGGAAGGATAGTAACAGCACTTAGACATATATTGCTTTACAGCCCTCTCTAAGTGGTTTACAGAGTCAGCCTCTCTTGCCCCCAACAATTTGGGTCCTCATTTTACNATCTATCTATCTATCTATCTATCTATCTATCTATCTATCTATCTATCATCTATCTATCTATCATTTATCTATCTATCTAATCTATCTAATCTATCTATCTAATCTATCTTATCTATCTATCATCTATCTATCATCTATCTATCAATCTATCAATCTATCAATCTATCTATCTATCTATCTATCTATCTATCTATCTATCTATCTATCTATCTATCATCTATCTATCTATAATATACTTCCATTTATTTTGCCTACAATAACCACCCTGGGAGGCAAATTGGGCTGAGTGTGTGTGGTTGGCCCAGGTCACCCGGCCGCCTTTTATGCCTAAGACTAGGACTCACCGTCTCCCGGTGATTGGCCCAAAGTCACCTAGTCGGCTTTCGTGTCTAAGGTGGTACTAGAACTCACAGTCTCTTGGCGATTGGCCCAGTCACTCAGCCAACTTCCATGCCTAACGCGGGACTAGAAGTCACCGTTTCTCTGTGACCGGCCCAAGGTCCCTCAGCTGGTTTTCATAGCTAAGGTGGAACTAGAACTCTTGGATTCTAGTCTGATGACTTAACCACTAGATCAAAATGGCTAAGCATAGACTGAGATGTATTAAGGACAGGCAGATACCAGCTGGCTCTCCTAGGTCTCACTGCCATTGAGGTTCAACCAGGAGTTCCTTTGGAATACGACCCACACATTCTGCAGGCTAATGGCCTATAATGTTGGTGGCCCACTAGGATTGATCTTTCCACCCAAGCTTCCCTGAGATACAGTTTGAAAACAACTGGCTCGGGAGGAGGAGAAAGACAGAGGAGGGTTAAAGAAAGGTTATTAGATGACAGAAGTTTCCAGAGGGAAGCAACATATTTTGTAAGTGACGATATACGTGCAACTGTAAGAAAAACAAACAAGACACCAATTCATAACGCGTTGAGGTTGATTTTCTGCATTAGTGGCTCAGAACACTCCCGACACAAGACAGAAAAGTCATGCAGCATGGAATTCGGTTTTAAACATTAATTTAGTCGTTTTAAATCAATAGCGCAGGTTGTTGCATTCGCAGTAGAGCCCGTCTGACGGAAAGTCATGCTGGAAGAAGAAGTCAGATTGCCTAGGACAGAATTATTTCAATTTGCAGAATTATCCAGCCACTCTTCAAATCACTGGCAGCGAGCGTCTGCTCTCCATTTGGGAACACGGGAAGCACACAAATTGTTACAAGACACGATCCGTTGTTAATTAGGACGAAGACAAATGCCTCCCCTTTTGTCAGTTATAAAGCAAGGGGAAAAAAAGCTGCTTAAAACAAGATGCATTTCCTACCCGCTAATCCACATGGAGGGAAATGAGAAAACGGCAGCGGTCTCCATATAGTTTTCCTACGACAGGTTAAGTCCTCAACTTAGGACCCCAATGTCCGTTGCTTAAGTAAGGTGGTGATGAAGTGAGCCACGCCGGATTTTATGATCTTTCCCACCTCCAGAGTTAAGCATTTCACTGCAGTTGTTAAGTGAATCATATGGTTGTTAAACAAATCCAGCTTCCCCCCATTGACTTTACTTGTTGGAAGCTAGCTGGATGTGTGTGTGGGTGTGTGTGTGTGTGTTACCAATGACAATCGTATGACCCCAGGACAGTGCAACTGTCATAAATATTTGTGCTGGTTGCCAAGCAATAGCACTTAGACTTGTATACCACTTTACAATTCTTTACAGCTCTTTCTAAGCTAGGGATTCAAACTGCCGACCTTTCTGATCGACAAGCTCAGCGTCTTAGCCACTGAGCCACTGTGTCCCTTTTTTTGAGGCAGGGAGAAACACACAACTGGGTCTGTCACCTCCGGCAGCAAAGCTTGTTAGCCATCTTGCTAGGTAAGCAAGGCCAGGTAAGATGACAGCAACTAACTAAATGCACAGGTAGAACCGTGGATCGTGGCAATTGGACAGGTAAAGGAGCAGGTGGTTCTCCTTCACAGCAAGCTAAATTTATAACCAAGTCACTCTCCACAAAAGGTGCTCAATTCAAACCCTTCTGCCCACCTGAAGGGCATCTTTCTCTGCCTCTCCCTCCACCTTCTCCCAACCAGGTGTGTCCTGACAGCATCCAATGGAGAATCTGGCTTTGCTGTCGAGATAGGAAATGCACCGTTTGAAGCTGTGCCAAAGCCGCTGAGCTCAAGTTAATCGGCGGTTCGTATCTCCCTGCGAGACGCCGCAATCGAAAAGGTAGTAGGCTATTTCCATGCAAAAAGCTTGCGTGCGCATCCAACCCACACACGCACACAGGAGTAACCTGGGGCCACAACAGCCAGCCAAAGGAGAGACAAAATCTTCCGGGTCACAAGCCATCCTGCTGTTCTCGTTCTTTGCAACATGTGGAGGGAGAAGTAACCTGGTATAGGACACAGATGGGTGTGAAGGGAGACAACAGAAAGGGGTTTTCATTCAAAGCCATCCCTCGGCGCTTCTGCACGCCAAATTAAACCCGCATTGAGAAACCAAAAACCCTAGCATCTGGGAAGAAGGAAAAGGCGCACTAAGGTTATTAACAGCCAATTTGACAGGATCACTGTCTCTCGTTTGAATGAAGTTATGCCTCCTATCTCTTAAAAAAAAAAAAACAAGGCAGGTTTTGAGAGACACCGCCCTGTCCAAAAAAGTTATCGGTACAAATTCTAAATTCTTTTCAATGGTGAGAAGTCCCGTCACCCCTTAGAATTCGACACTTAAATGTAAGGATGTAATAATAACCATTTTTAAAAAATATGTATCGAGATAGGTGGCAGCACCCATCTGTTTTGCTTGATTTAACAAACAACAGAAAAGAAAAATAAACCAACGTCGGACTTTGATTTCCATCTAGAAAAAACCCAGGGATCGAAGACCACCAGCAGATCCCGGGTGTATTTTTTATCTGATAGGAGTTAAAATATTTCTAGCTCAAAATGTTATTTTTAGTCCTTGGTGCTCTCTGAGTTGATGGTTTTCTTGCGGGCATTTCATTAGGTAACTTCCATCAGGGCACTGATGCTGTTACTTAGTTCGGTAAGGAAATGCCTGCAAGAAAACCATCCAAGCTCAGAGAGCACCAAGTATGCCCCACATGTCATTGTCTTGTTTCACTACACTAGATTAAGCTGGGTTTCCCCAAAAGCTAAATTCCTTTGTGCTTCCTTTCTGCTTTTTGCTAGGAGTCCTTTCAGCGTTACTTTATTTTTAATCCTCTAATGCATTATTTTATTTTTAATCCTCTAATGCATTATTTTATTTTTAATCCTCTGCTGAACCACAGGGTTTGGCTTTCTTAGTGGTTGTGCAACATATGTAGAATAAGAATGACCTTGCTTCAACAATAAGTGTGTGTGTACACACACACACACAACCCTAAATCTACAGCTAGAGTTGGCAGGCAGCTTCTGGAGAAGGACACGATTCTCGGGGGACGCTTTGATCTAATCTATGCAAGGAAGCTCTAAGTTTAGCAATGCAGGGATTCGGATGATGATGAACGTGGCACGACAAAACCGCGCTCGACTAAGCCGCGCCCGATTAAACGGCGTCGCTGACATCATCAACAGGGCAACAAGAGCCAGCGCGGAGAAAAAAGGG